GTATTTACATGTGTATATGAACATGTAAACATACATACATACACATACATAAGTGTCCGGGGTGCCGTAGATTTACACGGCTCTTTTTTTTACTGTACACGGGGGAGTTGGAACAGTCGGATGTCTTGAGGGACAGAGGACTCCCTGAGTCTGTCCATGGAGCAGGGCTGGGACAGCATCTACTGCTGAAGGAGCTCCTCTGCTTCATGATGGTGCCGTGCAGAGGATGGTACTTACGATGGTAATCATCCCCTACAGTGGAGGCTGACTGTGCCCCTCTCTGTGGGCAGGATCATAACCAGGCATTGTGTTGAAGCCGCTCCGCCCGTTGTGGTCCTTAATTGCTCTATAATCGTTCTTCAATTTCTTGATCTTCTCTCGGCGCTGCTCATCAGTCCAGGTGTAGCCCTGCTGCACCATCATCTCTGATATCGCTCACTAAATGAGCTCGTGTCCTGCGGTGCCGTCTGTCAGCACGATGAGGAAGTGGAGGCTCTGATGTAGCTCCGCAGGACAATCAACAGCTGCTGTCTGCTTATGTCAAGATCAGACCCTCCAACAAGGTGGTCCCATAAACTGGGCTGACTGGGCTGGATACCCATATCTGGTGCCGTGTGGAGCCGAGGAGAGTCGAGACGGTGGCAACGAGCCATATCAGAACCAGGCAGTGCAGTGACTGGATCAGACCTGTCAGCTTCAGAAAAGTAGAGTCAGGACTGGGATGGTCCATCATCATCTGGAACTCTGGTGCCACAGAACGCTTTGACCCAGCTGACGGACCAGAATCGAGCAGAACCCTTTAAATAACAGCTCAGAGAAATTTGAACAAAGAAAGCCTCACCTGCCAGGAGGAGGTGCTTGTGGATCAAAGACTGGAGACAGACCGAGACCCGAGACTTGGTGACCTGTTGATGACCCGTTGTCTGGCTGGTCTGGTTCCTGCGGCGCCGACTGCTGCTTTTACCATACCATTTTATTTATCGAGCACTTAAAACAGTCAAGGCCGACCAAAGTGCTTTTAGACCGAATCACTTGTTTGTGATCAGAATCGTTGTTTCTCCATGTTTTAACAGCAGAGTTTACGTTTGAGGTCTAAAAGTGAATCCAGTTATCTTTGATTTTGG